AGACGATGCGGAGCATGAAGCTGAGACGAGGCAGAGCATGAAGCTGAGACGAGGCGGAGCATGAAGCTGGGACGAGGCGGAGCATGAAGCTGAGACGAGGCAGAGCATGAAGCTGAGATGAGGCGGAGCATGAAGCTGAGACGAGGCGGAGCATGAAGCTGAGACGAAGCGGAGCATGAAGCTGGGACTAGGCGGAGCATGAAGCTAAGACGAGGCGGAGCATGATGCTGAGACGATGCGGAGCATGAAGCTGAGACGAGGCAGAGCATGAAGCTGAAAAACTAGCGGGCGGAGCATGAAGCTGAGACGAGGCGGAGCATGAAGCTGAGACGAGGCGGAGCATGAAGCTGAGACGAGGCAGAGCATGAAGCTGAGACGAGGCAGAGCATGAAGCTGAGACGAGGCGGAGCATGAAGGTGAGACGAGGCAGAGCATGAAGCTGAGACGAGGCAGAGCATGAAGCTGAGACGAGGCAGAGCATGAAGCTGAGACGAGGCGGAGCATGAAGCTGAGACGAGGCAGAGCATGAAGCTGAGACGAGGCGGAGCATGAAGGTGAGACGAGGCAGAGCATGAAGCTGAGACGAGGCAGAGCATGAAGCTGAGACGAGGCAGAGCATGAAGCTGAGACGAGGCGGAGCATGAAGGTGAGACGAGGCAGAGCATGAAGCTGAGACGAGGTCTTGCAGAACGTTACTTCGTGATGAAGAAGACACAGGTGCAGCACCTGTGTATATTTATTACCCAAGGTTTCACCTGCTCAGTGAACTTCTTCAGTCGGATACAGAGGTGACTGTTGTACTGAAGACAGTGGAAGAATTAAGGTGGCAATTTTTTTAAGGTGTTAAGGCCTCTAACCTTAACTAAAGGTGTTTAATCCTTTATGTTTTGATTATAATTCACTCCTTGTACTCTCTCTCATAATAAAATCGTCTCTGTATTCGAATAAAGGAACCTGCTGAGAAGGCGAAACGTTTCGACAATAAAATCAACCAAGTATTGCACATGTATGTTGGTCATCAGTTTAACAGTATGGTATATCATCAATACAATTCTACAGCTGCTGAGTACACAGAAACAGTGTGGCACCAGCTGGATCTGCTGCTGGAAGTCATCCCAGTGACTGAGATACCAGCTGTGCTCACAGTGTATACACTCCACCTGCAGTCTGCCTCTCAGACACAAAAATAGATTTCCTTGTTTAATATATTTATTTGTGTGCATGTCAGCGAGAGTATGAGGAAAATATTCCCATTTTGTCTTACAAAAACAAGTTTTAATTCATCATTCTTTTGTGTAGTTTGCTAATAGTTTTGGTTTAATAAAGTGAAGGTAGAAGTAGTGGTGTAATGAGGAGGTGTTGATATTTCATAGAAAATTAGTTAGAATGGTGAATCGTTGATTGATTTTCCCCTCAGTGAGCTGCGTCAGTTTCCTGGAGTCAGTTTCCTGGCTTCAGCGATGCATTTAGATGTACTTCGTTATTTTTAGTACCGATAGAGAGAGACAGTCAGTTAACTTGACATATAAATGTTGCATGGAGGAGGGTCTTGTTAGTTTACCGAGTCAAGGGTTGGTTTTGGGGGCTGGGGGGGGGGGGTGGTGGTGGTGTGTGTGGTGGTGCTGGTATGGTGATGGTGGTGGGTGGTGGTGGTGGTGGTGGTGGTGTGGTTGTGCTGGTGGTGCTGGTGGTGCTGGTGGTGCTGGTGGTGCTGGTGGTGCTGGTGATGGTGATGGTGGTGGTGGTGGTGGTGGTGGTGCTGGTGGTGCTGGTTGTGCTGGTGGTGCTGGTGGTGTGGTGGTGCTGGTGGTGCTGGTGATGGTGTGGTGGGGGTGTGGTGGTGGTGGTGGTGGCTGGTTGTGCTGGTTGTGCTGGTGATGGTGATGGTGGTGGGGGTGGTGGTGCTGGGGTGCTGGTGGTGCTGGTGGTATGGTGGGTGGTGGTGGTGCTGGTGATGGGTGATGGTGGTGGTGGTGCTGGTGTTGGGCTGGTGCTGGTGGTGCTGGTGGTGCTGGTGGTGCTGGGGGTTTGCTGGTGGTGCTGGTGGTGCTGGTGTTTGGTGATGGTGGTGCGGTGGTGCTGGTGATGGTGGTGGTGATGGGGGGTGGTGGGGTGGTGGTGATGATGGCGGTGGTGTGGTGGTGATGGTGGTAGTGATGGTGGTGGTGGTGATGGTGGTTTGGTTTGATGGGGGTGGTGTGGTGGTGGTGGTGGTGATGGTGGTGGTGATGGTGATGGTGGTGGTGATGGTGGATGGTGTGGGGGGTGGTGGTGATGGTGGTGGTGATGGTGGTGGTGATGGTGGTGGTGATGGTGGTGGTGGTGATGGTGGTGGTGATGGTGGTGGTGATGGTGGTGATGGTGGTGGTGAGTGATGGTGGTGGTGATGGTGGTGGTGATGGTGGTGGTGATGGTGGTGGTGGTGATGGTGGTGGTGATGGGGTGGTGATGGTGGTGGTGGATGGGGTGGTGATGGTGGTGGTGGGGATGATGGTGATGG